TCCACAACTCAAGGACAGTTCGAAATAGCTGTTGACTGTGCTGAACCGCATGGGCGCTGACCTCGACTGCCGCTGTCAGGCGTCATCGACTCCCACCTGGTGATGCACCAGCTGACCTGCAACGGCGTACTGGAAGGCATCCGTATCTGTCGCAAGGGCTTCCCCAACCGCATGGTGTACCACGACTTCCGTCACCGGTAAGTGGCGAGGTGTTCTCGGCTGCGTGCTCGACTGCGTTCTCATGCGCGTTCTCATCCGACGTCGCGCTGACCGGCCTGGGGAGGAGAGAAGAATGTCGTCACGGGACCCATGTGGCAGCGGGGTCAACACTGAGGACTGCGGGGACATTACGCCTCCCGTTTTACCGAAGTGAAATTTTGAACCGCTCTCTTTGCTGGTTCATAGAATTAGGAAACTGATTAATCAAAAATCAAAATCAGTTAAGTTTTGCGCATTCTGGAAAAATGCGCAAAAAATTAATGCTGTTACGCTGGCAGTTCATCAATTTCGTCATCAAATTCATTTTCGGCGATGACGAAGAATAATTTATTTTGACATAAACATGGCAACAGGGGCCCCATGGCGTCAGCGTTTGCTGTGCGACGTAGAAACGGATTGTGTTGGCCTGTGGAGGCATCTTCGTCATTATCCAGTTGTGTCTTCAAATATTTACGATAGGCGCGGGTCGTATATCACTGTCTCTGATTCAGGCGGCGAACATCGTTCACTTCCACTGGCGCGAACCCAATCAGCAGTTTACATCGTGGCTTATTCAAGGTTGTGAGTCACGTGCGGGTTGGACTGGGGGTTGTCTTGGCACTCACCTGCTCCGACCTCAGGCAATGCACTGACCTCTGTCGCCCACTGCTGTCCGCTCAGCGGCGGAGGTGCCTGATGCCGCCGGTCGGACAAGGCGGCATCCCCGACTTCCCCGTGGTTTCGCTGTCTGTCGTTGTGCTCGGACTGTCTGCCGCGAGGCGGACATGGTGTATGCGGCCGAACGCCCCCCCCCCCCCCGCTCTACGGCCGAACGCCCCCCGCATTACGGCCGGAACGTCTCTCATTCTGCGGCGTAGCGTCTCCCATTCCTCGACGAACGTCTCTCGTTCTGCGGCCGTACATCTCCCGGTCTGCGGCCGTAGCGCCTCCCGGTCTGCGGCCGAACGCCCCCCGCTCTACGGCCGAACGTCTCCCGCTCTACGGCCGAACGTCTCCCGCTCTACGGCCGAACGCCTCTCGTTCTGCGGCCGTAGCGTCTCCCGTTCCTCGACCGAACGTCTCTCGTTCGCGGCCGTACATCTCCCGGTCTGCGGCCATAGCGTCTCCCGTTCTGCAACCGTAGCGTCTCCCAGTCTGTGGCCGTATTGTCTGCAAGTCTGCGGCCGTAGCGTCTCTCGGTTTGCGGCCGTGGCGTCTCCTTGCTGTGTGCAAATGCGACCGCGGTCATCCACTTGATCCCTGGACCTCGGAAGCGGACGGTGCGGGGATAACTCGGCTAGGGCACTGTAGATACGCGATCCTGGCTGCGCAACTGATACACGACACGTGATAACTCACCCGGGGCGCTGTAGATACGTGATTCTGGCACCGAAGGAGATGAAGGCGTGCAAGGAGGGTCGGGACGCCTGCGACAAGTGCATGACCATAATCCAGAGATGGACCCGACAAGTTCCGGCTGGGCCTGACGAAGGTGACCGGACTGGGTTGTCCCTCCCACCACCACCGCACGGCGGAGCTTGCGCAGGCGTTCCCACGCCTCCTCGCCGTATTGGTGTACCCTGCAACCCAACCCTCCACCAACGCTCGGTTGTCTCTCTGTCTTGTTTGCATTCGGAACGACCTGCAAGCTCTCAGGATGGTTGCAGCCGACAGGGAAGCTGACCAGACTGAAGGTGACGCCTCAGTCCGCCCCCCCCCCCCCCCCCCCCCCTCTGCTCCCCGACTCCGGATGGGTGGCATGCCCTCCATCAGGGGGCAGCGTGACTCGATGCCAGGGGCGGCGCAGCCTTCCCTGAGGCTCCCGAGCGGACCTGCTGGTCGCCCTCCCCTCCCCCCCCCCTCGCGTATCCCCGCATCTGACGAAGCAGATCGTCGCGCTGGCCAAGTGCACCGCTGTACCCGATGTCTGTGAGCCTCCCGCGAGTGAGGACGAGAGCCTGGAATGTCCCCACTTCGGCGAAGGAGGGTGTCAGGCACAGCTGATCTCTTTATCGCTGTATGCCTGCTCCCCCCCCCCCTTCCACCTGTGCACAGAGTGATCCGTTTGCAGATGCCAATCTCGTAGAAGGCACATGCGTGTTATGCCCAGTATCGCACACTCTCTTTGCCCCTTTGCCCCCCCCCCCCCCCCCCCCCTCTCCCCCCCCCCCCCCCCCGCCCCCCCCCCCCCCCCCCCCCCCCCCCTATAAACTCAGGAACGTGTTCGGCGTGACCCGCCCGCAGGAGGAGACGGAGAAAATGCGACCGGTATGCTCTCTTCTCCCCCCCCGCCCCCCCCAGACACCCACCTGCCCCCCCCCCACCGTGTGCGGCCACAGCGTGATGCTCTGACCCGTGCAACCTCAGCTGACCCGCCGGTCGGTTCGTGTGAGCTGACCCCGTCTGACCCCTCCGCCCCTCCCAAAGCTATGTGATCCTGGCACCCAAGGAGATGAAGGAGAAGAAGGAGGACCGTGACGCCTGTGACGTCTGCCTCAAGAAAATTGACCTTGACTCCGATAAGTTCCGTCTGGGGCTTACTAAGGTAGCGTGGCCGCTGGTCCCCATCTTGATGGATCTTAATCGCAGACCAGGTTTTCGTCCTGCGGCTGCCGGCAGCGGCGGAAGTTTTCAGCGTATTTGTATTTTTTGCAGATAGTACCCAGAATATATACATATATATATATATATATATATATATATATATATATATATATATATATATATATATATGATTATGTCTTGCTGTTTTCCTGTTTGTTTTTGCGCCTTCGTTGCGAATGAGCTTCAAAAGGATCACCAAAAAAGGAATTATATGTCGTAACGTAAATTACTGAATACAAGCTGTTTTGTGAGCTTAACTCACACGGAATGAACTAATGCGTTTTTTGACCTAACATCCAGTGACCTGGCTACTGTGAGTCGATGTCTGGTGACCTGACGTGAGGTGACCTGGACCCCACGTGCCCTGCCCATCGACCCGACCCCTGGCGGTGTGACCTCAGGTCTTCTTCGCGCGCCGGCGTGCTGGGAGACATGGAGGAGCTGCGAGATGACAAGCTCAACAAGATCTTCTCCTGGATGCAGGCGACCATCCGCGGCTACTTCGCCCAGCGCGAGTACAAGAAGCTGCAGGATCAGCGGTACGTCTCGGGCCGGGGCGGGGTCGCTGAGGGCCGCCGGCTCCGGGTATAAGGCAGGGAGGAGGTGGTAGGGGGGGGGGGGGAGCTGCTGTCACGGACCGGGCCCCGGGTCTTGCTGCCTGGATTGCGACGTTACTGGGCTTGGTTTTGAATTGGTCAGGACCAGGGACTAGGACGGGACGGTCCGAGACGGTCCGACTAGCAGAACAGTTGAGTCAACTTGTCTTTGGAGGGATTTTCTCGAACTGTGTGTGATTTGGACCCCTCTTCCTCTTTTCAAAGACCATGTTGATCATGTCAACTGTTACCTTCTCCCCTCTCTGCCTCATGCAACTCCGATGCAATCCGGAGGTGTAACATACAACGTCATGTGCTTGCCGGAGTTTTCCGAGAATTGTGCGTACCGTACGTCGCCTCGAGCTTCCGTCTTCATCCGCAGCGCGTCGCTGCTGATCGTGCAGCGCGCCGTCCGCAAGTACATGAAGATGCAGGGCTGGGCCTGGTTCCGCCTCTGGATCAAGGTCCGCCCCATGCTCTACGAGACCCGCATCGAGGATGAGCTCAAGGGGGTCACGGGAGCTGTCCCGCGCTACGGACCGGCGACCGACGCGAGAGCCCGCCGCTACGGCTGCGGTCGGAGGCGGCGCGCCTCACTCGAGGGGTGGGGATGAGCGGCGGCGGCACTGGACTCACGCCAAGTTGAGCCGATGTCTCCGCGGCGGGGGCCGGGGCGTCTATCTCTTGGCGGCTGTCTGTCCGACGTCGCGGCCGGGCCATGTTTCCGTCGACGCCGTGGTCGCCTCCGCCAGTCTTCCGTCGCGTACTGCACCGCGTCCCTGATCAACGGGCTGGTGCCCGTCCAAATGACTGCTTAGGACAACAGACGGTGCCAATTTCACCTCGCCGGAGCTAGTCGCACCCGGAAGGGCAGGCACAAACAAACAAAGGCAAGGCGAGGCGACGATGGATGCATCACCGGGTCCTCGATGCAGCACCAGGGGGCGCGGAGGCGTGACTTTCTGGCCGAGCCGGGGCCATAAAGCCGCACATCAGACCAACAAACACGCGCACCAAAGCCCCGCTCACTCGTACATCATCAGGCGCCGTCACACTCTCCGCCATCGCGCAGCGCCCACTTGATCCGCCGGCCGGCCTTTGAAGGCAGACGAGTAACCCAAGCCGGCCGCGGCTCTCGAAGCCATGACTCATCTGGCAGTGGCGGCAGAGCACGTCAACCGCGCGGCTCACCAGAAGCCAGCCTGCCTCCCGGCCGACGGCAGCCGCTGTTTTCTTTGCACGTGCTCTCGCATGCCACGTGCCGGGGTCTGTTTTCACTGACGCCCGTCGGTGGCGACGACCCCCTCCGGCTCGACCGGGGGGAGGAGGCTGCCGGCGGCGCCCACCCGCGGTCGCCGCTGTGGCCCTGCACGCTCGAGCCCCTGAGGCCGCTGCGGGAAGGGGGGGGGGGGCGTCCATGCACACAATGACCGACCGATGGACGGTGAAGTGGTCGGCACTGGACCGACGGTGGCCCTCTCGCGCCGCCCCAGTCTGAGTCACGGCCGCGGTGGGCGAGCTATTTTGGCCCCGGGCGCCGCCGACCGGCCGGTACAACGCGGAACCGAACACAGCCGTCTAGGTGGCGCTGATGGCGGCTGGGGCATGCCTCGGTGACGCTGAGGAATGGCACACGATGCGTGCTGTGCCGCTCCCAGGCGGTGCAGCCGGGCCAATGCGTGACGTCACTTGAAGTCACTGGGTGGTTAGATGCTGCCATGTTGAAAGACACCGCTGTTGGGCGTGTAAACTTTACTTGGCTCTCTACGCAAGTTTATGATGATGATGACCGCACTGAATGATGCACCTGGTTAGAAGCACAGCGACGGGCTAGAGAGAAGCACGCTGCTTGCGACGGAGAACAAACTTGTTTATTGCTCTGGGGAAAATACGGTTTCCGGCGGATTTGATATTTATTAAAACATTGCACTCTGTTATAACATCCAACTTCAATGTGAGAGACATCTTCGACATAAAGCTGGTTAGATAACCATTTGCCCTGAAACGTTCCATCTCTTCAGTCGATTAATCCTGCCACCGAGTACCAGCTTTAAAAAGCTTCGTTCCAAAAACATTTTGTTCTGTTTCAGTCTTTGCACTGATTCCCATCGATTCACGCGGAAATTCTCCACCGTGTCCAGAATCGCACACGCATGGAAATATGGCATTATTCTATGAGTCTTCTGGCTATACGCCACACGCCCTAAGTATGCCTGCCCAAAAGATGCCGAGTTCAACCAAATCTAGTCCCGCTCTTTGCCAGATGACCACAATTTTGAATCTAACTCTTAAACGATTGGAGTGAGCTCATCCACTAAGCACTACAAGGGGCGACGATCTTGGCAATGACGGACATCCTTTTAGAGAACACCGCAGCTGGAGCTTCAGGAGTCTCATCAGGAGGCCCAAACATATATGAAAAAGATACTAAATGCCAATAGATAAATGTGTACCAAATAAATGCTCCGAACAAGAGGTATTGTTTTGCCCCGATGTGATAATGCCCTTAACAGGAGGACAAGGTTGTGGTCTTGTTTAGCATTTATAGCTGTTCGTTTGAAACGGCTTCAAAAATTAACGGGGTCCAAACAACTCCGGGACTGGGGCTGGGGCAAGGCATCGCGCGAAGCCAAACGGACCCCACCTACGGCCATCACGGTCAAGCGCACGCCACCTCCCCTCACGAGCACGCCCGTCCCCACCCTCCAAAAATGGGGCCCCGCCCCAGGCTGACTCAGCCCCCGGCGGCGACGGAGCGGCGGCGGCGGGGCGGGCGCGGCGGCCCCAGGCCGTGCGGCACACTCGTTCCCGCTCTGCCGGTCGAACGGTCCGGAGCGCAGCGCCCCGAGCTCCTGTGTCGGTCCCCCTCCCCTCCCCGCCCAGCCATGCTGCCGATATCAAGGAGTTTGAGGCGGGCGTCCCGCGAGGCCGTCGCCCGGTACGACGAGTGGTTCAGCCAGATCGATGGCCGCAGAAAGGTACGGGAAGCGGCGGCGAGGCGGCCGTGCGTCTGTGGTTTCTCCGGAGTGTGGCTGTTCGGATTTGCCGTGGGTTGTCGTGGGTTCCGCGGGGTTGTCGTGGAGTGTCGCGTGCTCCCGAGTTCAGGCGGAGTGTCCGAGTGAGCAGCGCGAGTTGGGTGAGCTGATGGTGGTGCGTCGTGCCGCCAGTCCCTCCCACGACTCCCGCTGTCGTGGCATGGAACATGGATGTATGCAATGGTGGTGGCTTGAATCAAGGACGGAACGGACTTTGGCGGATAATCCACATCGCCTACTTGAATTCTGCTTTTTAAAATTCCAAACTTGCCAATTTTTAAATATCGAAGCTGATTTTCGTGTAAATCCATGACTTAGCGAGAGGTTTATTTTTGCCATTGTGCCATCATTCCATAAAAACCTTCAATTTGCGAACAATTTGAGAGGTATAGTCCGTATTGCACCACAATGTGCCGTCCATACGTTCCGTACAACGCTACCTGTTTGTTTAGATACTATCATCAACTCATCAGTTTTCTAGTTTGGTCCTCATCTCAGACGACTACTTCAATTTGGGTAGCATTCCGTCAACATTAAGCAGTATGCAGTTCATGCGGACATTTTCGGTCGGCTAATATGGTGATCTGAACTGGTTCATTTCTTCTGCTCGAAGGGTTTCATTATTTGCCACCGATCCCTCCGTTTGACTACTGGGACCAGAAAACAAATTCCCTACATCATATCAGTGGTTACGCAATGGTAACATAATGTGGTTGTGCTTTGAAAAGCAGCGTTGTTTCATCTGTTCACCACGCCGTCCAATGCTATGGCGGTAAACGTTTTGAGTGCGGTGCAGTTGCAATGGCAAGACCATTTTTGAAGCCACCTCATACAGTGCGCTGCAGTGGTGCAAAGGCCTTTCCGGCAGTTCGGTAAACAAATTATGCGGGTTGTTCCAATGGGTCAGTTTGGTTTGCGAACAATTGTGGATTAATGTCGTTACGTCTTTTTTGCTGTTTGGTGTAGAAGTTTTGTCTTCGCCAGTACTTGTAGCTTGTGGGAAGATTCTAAAAATGAGCATACCTTAAAAAAGTTTCTTTTGAAAGCCCTTTACGGGTGTTGTGAATCTTTTCAAGACCACAAAACTGCGTTTGGCTTGCCTGTCGATAAGATAAGTGCAATGACCTATCTCCTGGCTGAAATGACCTATCTCCTGACCTATCTCCTGGCGATTGCATGCACTAGTCCCGTCTGTCTCGTGAGGTCAAACGCACTCACGCTGCACCTAAGTTGGCGAAACCGTCATCCGCACGAAGAACACCTTCCCAGCGGAACAGCCCAAACGGAATGCCAACACCAGACATGAATCGCAACGGCTGTCCTCATGTGGATAAATTATCCCTCGCATCACGTTTGGAACGTGTCGTTCAAACATCCCTTGTCAACATCGCCCCGACAGCTGCCAGCGTTCTCCACGAACCCGTCACCCAACTCACCCCCGTCCGCAGAGACTGGAGGAGGAGGCGGCGGCGGCCACCGCCAAGCTGGACGTGGAGCTGAAGCAGCGGAAGGACGCCGAGGAGAAGAACATCAAGCTGCTGCAGGAGAAGAATGAGCTGGTGTCTCGTCTTGAGTCGGAGCGCGGCTCCATGGGCGATGAGATCGCCAAGCAGCAGAAGCTGCAGGCGCAGAAGGCCGACCTCGAGGCCCAGCTCAATGTAAGTACAGGCGTCGTTTGATGGCGGTGAGCTCGTAGCGATTTTCTGGTGCTTTGGCAGGCCGTATGCCGGTCGCCCGCTGTGTTCAGCTGTCGACGGCATACCGGCGACCTTCTGGTGACCTGCTGATGACATGGTGGTGAGCGAGTGGTGACGTGTAAAAGGTCTATCGGGCACCCACCACGGGTGTGGTTTATAAACATGCATTATGGGGAGTGTTGGGGCTGAGCAGAGAAAAATAGCTAAACGTACGCTCAAAATGTAGAAAATACGTCGCTCTTGTCGGATTGGCCCCTCTCTCTTTTCAAAGTTAAGGGCTAGAGCCCCACTTCCCAATTGAATAGTAAACTACATCCTCACGATCTAGAGTAAGCCTAGACATGAGTGCTGTCCACCGATAGTTTTAGTGACCTCTTGATGACATTAATGGCACAATGGACACTGAAGTGACCTGATGTTGACGTTCTAGTGAATCGACGGTGATTGGACCACATCACTGGTCAATATGCTGATGACTTCTAAGTGATGCTCGGAGCGCGTGATCTATCATTATTCAAGACGCTTGTGCTGCGCAAATAAGACACGTATCGGGCTGGATGACCACCTGTGCGGTGCCCAATCAAATGATGTGCCACGGGCGTGGTATCCGCGGACTGCAACGGTCTTGCAATTGCAAAACCGACGTAAGTCTACGCCGACTCTTCGGCCACAATTTTTGATGGAATAAGAGCATCTTTATGCCTGGCTGATTACCGTCGAGCAGTTTAATATCACAGCTGTTAAATGATGTGATTGAGAGGCTGAGAATGTCAACCGAACAGCCTGGTTCCCTCAACGTCATTGCAGTCACAACACCTGTCAGCGGATCTCGCGCTTGCGTGAACCGTCAACAGATGTCACCACTGTCACCCGGCGGCTACCGCCCCATAAGCCCTGGTCGGGAACCCTGCTCCTCGTGCAGTTCCTGCCGACCAGGACGCGTCGCCAGCGGCTGCCGAGCCGTCGGGGGGCGACTGCGGGCTCGTTTATCTCAGCGCCCGTCTGTATTTGAAGTCGCGCATCCGGCGATAACAAGCAGCCGCCGGCGGACTGCCGCGGCTGTCAGCCGGCCGCCGCGGAGCAGAATCGCCCGCGGCGTTTCCCCCGATCGCCAGTGGTCCGAGGCGAGCGCGGCCGCCGAACAGTCGGCTTCGATCATTCGGCCGCGGGTAAAATAGTGCCGGCGGGGTGGCTGAATCACGGCGAGGTTGCGAGCCGGTATTTTCGGACGCCGTTCCGTGTACGGAGGCCAGTGCTCCAGTTTCGCCAGCGGGAGCGGTAGCGGCACCCTCCGAGCCGCCCGCCGGCGGCTCGGAGGTGCCGCGACTTGGGGCGTGGCGGCACGTCGGGGGTTTGCCGGCACGCTTCAAGAATGGATGCCTCGTGTCTGACAGCAAGCAACTCCTTGGCCTGAAATGTGGCAGGCAAAGGCCCGCTGAGTGAAATGCAGCCGGTCTCGCAAAGGTGGCAGTAAAGGCCTGCGGAAAATGGTTCGCACCAGGAGGCACTTGGTTAGTCGCAGCGCTGGGAATGGCTCACGAAAGACGGGGGTCTTGAAGTTGCCCCCTTCCCATGTCATGCTGACGGCTAGCGTTCAAAAGATGTCGGAAGCCCATGATGAGGCTGTCACATCGAATCACGGGGTTTTATGCAGTCCCGCGGGCTTGTCAGCGGGCTCAGTGGTCGGCAACTGGTGAACAAAAAGGCGAAACTCACAGTTACCTTTTGACGGTGCTGTTAAACAACAACGAAATATTTATTGGCGTCACATTTTTTTTCGATAAGAGCATTATGAAGGCTGCCAAGAACACGACAAATTGCTCTTGCGTTAGCGAAATGACGTGACCAACGATCAAGGACTTCATGGCCGCGCAACTGCCGGGCGAGAGCCACAAATGATTGATGCGCTTTTAACCGAAATACTTATTCAAATGAAAACGAAGAAATTAAAAAGAAATGTGAATCAGCACGCATGCTAATAGCAATAGTTTTACATAAACTCAGATGTGATCACAGTGACCTCGTCGTCTCTAAAGTGAGGACTTTTGGCTCCAGTGTAATATATATATAGATATAATATATATATATAGAGATATGAACAACCTCGTTATTAAATGATCGCTCCGGTTCTCTAGTCCTTGATACTAACACCCAAACTTTATGACCAATGTGAAATTTGCTGACATTATTACACTTCAAACATGAGCGAAATCCTCATCGACCTCGGACTTTACCTGACCACTGACTATGCGACCACTGATCCCCAGGACGTTTAGAAATTGAGGACAGACACATGACTCTCCCTAGCCTGTGCTCACCTTCGACTCAGCTCCCCCTTGTCCGTTGTTACCTCTCAGCAGGCCTGAACTCACCTCACCCACCTTTGATGGGCCTCTGGCCTCAGCCCCTCTCATCAGTCCTGATCTTTTATCTAACCGCACTCCTCGCCTGGCAGGTCCACACCTGTGGCCTGTGCTGACCTTTGACCTGATCTCGCTTCTCACCTAGCCGGACACTTCTGACCTCTGCTGACCTCTGACCCCAGGACGCGCAGGAGCGGCTGGCCGTCGAGGAACAGGCCCGCCAGCAGCTGGCGCAGGAAAAGAGGAAGGTGGACGGCGAGATGGGTAGCATGAAGAAGGACCTCGATGACATGCAGAACAGCGCCAAGAAGCTCGAGAGCGAGAAGACCTCCAAAGACCACCAGATCCGCACGCTCAACGACGAGATCGCCCAGCAGGATGACGTCATCAACAAGCTGAACCGCGAGAAGAAGCGCCTGCAGGTGCGTGATGAGGATGATGTTCAGGGCCAGCGACACGGGCTGGCTATTGGGATGTGGATGGGCGGGGGTTTTGGTACACGACATAAAGCTTATTAAAAGCCTAGGTATAGTCTCAGTAACGGCACATGTGAATGCTGCATTTCTAGATGATCTTATTGCGTCCCACAGTTCTCAGGATTCTGCTCTCAATCGCTGTCAAGCCTCCGCTGTTGTGTGTTTAGCGGTGGCGAATACCTGGAAGCAAGGTTGGACGATGGTGTTCGGCAGTCGTACAGCGGTTTAAGCTGGCAAATTGGCCCGCTTTTTGCGATGGTCACACTATTCGCATGACAATATTTACTTATTTTGGGATTTGGTTTTGCCCACATTTCCATGGATTAGAATACGTTGTTAGACACATCGGCCTTCTGCTTTTTATTCGGCACACGTGACCAGAATGGCGAAGCCAGGAAGGCTTCATGGTGTTGGAAGTGTCTATGACAGTGACGTGATTGCCCGGCTAACTCCACATCTCTGACGTCACGCTCGTGCGCCTCTTCCGCAGGAGAACCAGCAGAAGACGGCCGAGGACTTCGGCACGCAGGAGGACAAGGTGAGCCACCTGACTAAGGTCAAGGCCAAGCTGGAGCAGACGCTGGACGAGCTGGAGGACTCGCTGGAGCGCGAAAAGAAGACGCGCGCCGAGATGGACAAATCCAAGAGGAAGGTGGAGGGTGACCTCAAGCTGACCCAGGAGGCCGTGGCCGACCTGGAGAAGAACAAGCGCGAGCTCGAGCAGACCATCCAGCGCAAGGACCGCGAGATCGGCCAGCTCTCCTGTGAGTGCCGCCCACGTGCGAACCTCCTGCGATGCTGGTGACGATCATTGTGATTTCAGGCCGGTTTGGATGTTTGGCCATATGGCGCCCAAGGAAATCCGCCAGCGAAGGGTGTAGATCATGTTGTGCTCTGACAGGTTGCAACTAACTGCGCTCTGACAGAACTATTACCCCCCCCCCCCCCAACCGACCTGGGAGAAAGTTCATGTGTTCAGTAATCTTCACGAGCCGATCGTTCCCGGTCCACCACTGAGCTCCGACCTCAGCTCATGTAGCATGACCTGCCGTGACATCCCCGCCCCGCACGCTTCAGCCAAACTGGAGGAGGAGCAGGCGCTGGTCACGCGTCTGCAGCGCGTCATCAAGGAGCTGCAGGGCCGCATCGAGAGCTGGAGGAGGAGCTGGAGGCAGAGCGCCAGGCGCGCGCCAAGGCCGAGAAGCAGCGCGCCGATCTGGTCAGTCTGACCGCTGCTTATATTATATTTGATATACACCACACACACATATATTATATATATTATAATATATATATATATATATATATGTCTTATGTCAAGAAAATATATATTATATATATATACCCTGGTTTTTCTCGAAAGATATACTACTGTCTAATATTACTACGGGCTATTACTACTGTCTTATCTATGTGAATAATGCTCCTCGCGAATGCACTGAACAACTTACGTAATGTTCAGCGGCGTTAGTTATTTATATGCGCGGCGTCCTTGCTTGCAGACGCCCGTTTAGTGACGCCTGTAACCGCTATGTCGGTGGACTGCAGCTAGGGGGGTTTTTCTAAAATCGGTTGGTAGCTGAGCTGATAAAGTTGTCCCAACCTATTACGATCCAATCGTAGTTGTTGCGATCTCGCTCCACGCTGACATCGCACGCGTTACCAGCCTATTGTGGTGTTGATGACGTTGATGACACTTCAGGCGCGTGAGCTTGAGGAGCTGAGCGAGCGCCTGGACGAGGCAGGTGGCGCCACCGCCGCCCAGATCGAGCTCAACAAGAAGCGCGAGACCGAGATTGCAAGCTGCGCCGCGACATTGAGGAGCAGGTACTGACATCTTCCGGGTGAAATGGAAACTATTGTTTCGGTTTCCATGGTGGTCGCTTGCGCTCACTGGGACCTGTCCGTCAAGCTCAGTTTAAAGTTGAAGCATACTAATGCGGCAAGCATCACTGAATCAGAGGGGGGGGGGGGGCATCTGTCTCAGCAGTGACAGCTTTTAAAATGTACTGTAAATGATTGCATGTATAATGCAAGTTTTGAACTTGTCGCATCCTGAGAAAGTGCCTACCACTTTATGCACATGCCTACCACTTTTTCATGGTTTTCCAGGTAATACTAATGCTCTTGTCTTAAAAATTCTAAATGCAGGTATATTCCTGTTGAAAAACATCTTTCAACCTGTCATGAACGCATTCGGTGAAGAATGACGCCACTCGCGCGTTGCGACGTCACCATCGTGCCTGTGTCCGCAGAACATCCAGCAGGAGACGACCCTGGCTGGCCTGCGCCGCAAGCACAACGACGCCATCACCGAGATGGCCGAGCAGATCGACCAGCTGAGCAAGGCCAAGGCGAAGTGAGTGCCCCGCGCGGGTCCGGCACCTCGGTCGACTCTAGCCTCGGCGGAGGAGGCCGCTTCTGGGGGAGGCGGGCGCGAATGCTCCTAAAATATTGAGGCGGGTAGTGTACGGTAGTGTAGTTAGGCTGCTGTCAGGCAGCCAGAAGTGGATTCAGCTACGACTAGGTCTGATGTGGTAGGTAGTAGTCTACCCGTCGAGTGAGCATATCCCGCCCGTCGTACCTTCACTCGAGCCTCTGAGCCAGTGTAGTACATAGGTTTGATGGTTCAGAGGGCTTCCTCGGCGTAGATGAGACGGAGAGCAGTCCGCTCTTCGCATTTCCATGCACGCCTGGACGATGCCCGGCGCAGTGCAGAGACCGCACCTGGTAGATGTTTGGATTGCGTGTCGGGTGTAGTTGGGCGGTGCGTGTCTGCCTCCTCACTGCGCGCGCCGCCGTCCAGGATTGAGAAGGAGCGCCAGGGCTACACGGCCGAGGCGCACGACGTGCGCATGGCCATTGAGCACATCAACAACGAGAAGGTAGCCGCCTTGTCCGTTCACCCCCCCCCCCCTGCCCACAGAACCGCCGAGCGGAGAGACCCTCGCGTGGAGTGCCCCCCCCCCCCGCCCTGACCCCCTGTGGATGTGGTGACGTCACCCTGTGAGCGGCTCGTGCCCGGCCGCGACCCTGGCGGTGCCCCGGTCGCGACCTTTCGCCCTCCCCGGTCGACGTCCCCCTGCATGAGTGTGACCCCCGTTGCAGGACCGAGCGCGAGGGCGACGCCCTCAGTAGCGAGGCTCAGGAACTCAGGCTCGCGCTCGATCAGACCAACGCCGAGAAGGTAGATGGCGCTGCCTCCGCGCTGTCAGCTGGCCGTCGCGCCACAGCTGACCGTGCGCTCCAACTAACGCCTCGTCCAGGCCGTTTTCAGATCTCCCGCCGCCTTTTTGTGCTGGTGATTTTTGTTTTCCATGTTTTGGGAGGTGTATTTTCAGCATTTTCCTTTGCGCCTTTCTTTTAGCGTAGAAAGGCACACGCACGAGCTTCGCGGCGAGGCTGAGAGTTACCGAGAAGATTTGATCGGATAAGACAGCTTACGGTAAACTTCAGCTCTTTTGAGCGCCGAAACACCTGCAACACAAAGCGAGCCTGCATGCACGCTTGCACCTGGAATGCGTTTGACTATGCTGCTGTGTGCAAAAATGTAATTTGTTTTCAGGATTTCGGAAGGCGTTTTCGCTCTTTTCCAGCTGATGAACACCACTTTGTTTTAACGTAACTTAACCATGCACTTTTGTGTCTTTTTTTCTAGCGTACTTGTGGATGCGCTTTATTACCTATCTTTAAACGCTGATCCGGGTAACTGACTGTACAGCAATGCGGAAAAAAAGCTTCTCACCATTTATGTGTTAACAACATCACGCAATTGATGAACTACGTCACTAACGTTTGAAGCATGTTTCCTCACAGGCTACCTGCCAACGCTGCTCGATCTTTTTTACAATCTTCTTGTGCGGTAACAGTGTTTGTACGCGATCTAACGGCATACGCTGGTTTGGTGTCAGAAAATATGCATCGTCGCGCTCATCAAATACGCTCTGATGGTATTGTTTATGGGCAATTGCCACACATTAACCTTGGACGAGGAGCACACACACGTGCCAAGCTAGAAATAACGCGGGGACTCGGCACAGATCAACACAACTAAACACGAACAGTGCGCAATCCGCTGCAGCAACAACTCCCGACCAAAGCGCCCACGTCGATGCACGGACAAGGTCGTGCAGTATCGCTCCACATGGCGCGGACCCGCCCGCTGACTAGTGTTTGCAGGGCACGGCCGCCCGGCGCCGGCCGACCACTCGTGCCGCTGCGCACGCATGACCCGTCCGTGTGCACGCCAGGCGACGGAGGAGAAGCAGACTAAGGGCCTGCAGGACCAGCTGACCAACCTCAACGGCAAGCTGGAGGAGGCCAACCGCACGCTGGGCGACTTCGACACGGCCAAGAAGAAGCTGTCGGTTGAAAACGCCGACCTCCTGCACCAGGTCGGCCGGGGGCATGGGCTCGGGGGGGGGGGGGGGGTCACCGACAGTCGTCTGGATGTGGGTCGCGCTGTGATGTTGGCGTGTGTGGAGGGGGGGGGGGGAGGGGTCATGGATATGTGGCCGTCGCGGCGAGAATGATGTCTATTGCAAGGGGTGGAAGTAATCGCGGAGTTTTCCTGGAAAAAAGCAAGCGCATGCTTAAGTGCTTTGTAAGGTGCGAGCAGCAACTCTTTATGTGTGCTGGTGACGTAGTCTGTGGTAGGGAGCTCGGACCACGGAGACCGATATGTGTGAGACAAACTTTGCTGAGAAGCATGCCGTGACCCCGAGTCGCGGCCGGTCAGGCCGTTTCTGCGTTCTGTTGGCTGGCCTTATAGCGCCTCGCGCCACCCGCCGCGCTGATTCTGCGCCACCTTTGCTGACTGATTACCTCCTGACCTCCTGCCCCCTGACGCCCACACGGACACCACCGCTGACGTCCCCGCTAACGCCGGCAGCTGGAGGAGGCCGAGTCGCAGGTTGTCCCAGCTGCAGAAGCTGAAGGTGACGCTGCAGTCGCAGCTGGACGACTGCAACCGGCTGTGCGACGAGGAGGCGCGCGAGCGGGTCACCATCCTGGGCAAATACCGCAACCTCGAGCATGACATCGACTCCATGCGGGAGCAGGTGGGTGCGGTCATCCTGATCGGCCAGTCCTGCTCGACAACGCCCCGGTCTGGTTTGGTTACTTGTCGACGATTGGGGGGAGGGGGAGGGGAGGGCAATGTCATGAACTTTTCACCCTTGGTGAGAGCTGAGACTGGAGAAGCTTTCCTGCGGCGGCATTTGAACCCTTGATGCTTTGATAGGGAAAGGAACCTCTTTTAGCACTCGGCCGTTGGCAGAGTGGTGGGGCTGGTGAGGGTAACGGAGGCGGCGGTGGACAGGGATGCGCCGGTCAACTGCCAAGGCGTGGTGATGGGGGATTCGGGTCAGGAGATCGGGCTGTCTGGAGAGGATGATACTGGAAAGCTCGTGAAGAACGGCCAAATTCACAAATTAGTGATTATTAGCTACAGGGGACTGGAACAGTGTGACCCTGTAACATCAAATCAATGAGGGTATTTTGGGCGGGAGTTGTAAAGGACAAACAAGTAAAACGGGCTACGAAATGTGCGTTCTGTGCGTTATCGGTGGTATGCGAACTGAAACCGTTCATAACAAACAGATTTATTACCTGCGTCATTGGCGAGAAAGCATGAAACCAGTTCCCGATTAGGACCTTAAATTCGCACTTGTAGATCTGATTGGATCTCAGGTGACCGACTAGACATCCAATTGGTCCTCATATGCCCACTGGACTTGATTGGACTGCGGTCGATGGTCACGCGTTTTCATTGGCCCACAGGTGGACGAGGAGGCTGAGCTCAAGTCGGACCTGGCTCGCCAGGTGGCTAAGGCTCAGGCTGAGGCTCAGCTGTGGCGCAACAAATACGAACAGGAGGGCATCGCCAGGTGAGAGATCGCATCTGGCAGCGAGCTGGAACAGAGGTCACATCTGGTAGTGTAGCAGTGTCTGCTGTGATCTGCCGACTGCACTGCCAGACGCCTCTGGTAGCGCAGCGGTGTCTACCATGATCAGCCGACGGAGTTTCCTGAACTGCCCTCGTTTTGTAAATGCCGTGTGGCGGCTTCCCAGTGCACCACGTGGTGTAAGTCGGTGTGAGCCTGCTGCAGGTTACGAGCTCTCCTGTCCCTGCGTGATGCCGTCGGCCAAAGTAAATATCCTCCATCAGCGGCCTTTCCATGCGTTATATGTGGTGGACCAAAATCTATATGCCCTGAATTTCGTTACTTAATTCCTGTCCATGCAATAGCGTCTTATCCCAGTGAAGCAAGGGGCCAACAACAACGCATCAGTCTTGACCCATCAAAGGATGCCGACCAGATGCCCTCCTGACCCGGTGACACGAGCCAAAACCCCGTGAAACTAAGCTTGCTTAATGTTTAAACTAAGCTTAAACATGATGGGTGCCCCGCGGCACCCATCATGACCCCGTGACCTCGTCGCAGGGCTGAGGAGCTGGAGGAGCAGCGCCGCAAGCTGGCCGTTCGCCTGCAGGAGGCCACCGAGCAGCTGGAGGTGCTCAACCAGAAGAACATGAGCCTGGAGAAGATCAAGACCCGGCTGACGGGTGAGATCGACGAGATGCACGTGGAGGTGGAGCGCGCGCAGCAGCTGGCTGCCCAGATGGAGAAGAAGGCGAAGGGCTTCGACAAGATCATCGCCGAGTGGAAGATGAAGGTACGTTGGGAGTGTGGATGGTTATGGACCGTGTGTTGGTTACGTTATGGAGAATCGTCTCTTATGTTCGCGATTTTGTCTGTTTACTGTGGAGAAAAAAATTGTTTTGTAAACACATTTCGGCAGGTTGGAAGAGTCAGCAGGACAGAAGAGCGATTGGAAACTACGGCTGAGGCGAAACGTATCTCATCTCACTGTTTCTTTTTCTATATTTACACGTCTGATGAAAAAACGCATTCCCTTCACCTGGCCATATCTGTCATCTAGCGACCGACCTTCAACACTGAACACTGCCCGTCCCCCGGCAGGTGGACGACGTCGCTGCGGAGCTGGACGCCTCGCAGCGGGACTGCCGCAACTACAGCACCGAGCTCTTCCGCGTGCGGTCGGCGTACGATGAGGGCGTCGAGCAGCTGGATGCCGTGCGCCGCGAGAACAAGAGCCTGGCCGACGAGGTCAAGGTGAGGTCAAGGCCATGCCGGAGCCACGTGATCGGTCTCCGATTTGAATCCCGCTGTCCTTGAACGGACGCCCAGTTGGTACGGTAGTCTGACACCGCTAGGATTGCGTGTAATTGGCGTCAGGACCTGCCTGTAGCGTAAAACTCTTCCGCCAGAAACGTGGTCCTCAAAATCCCAAATGACTCGCTGAAGTTTATGTTGTTTAGCGGGTGTGCATTCTTTAGTGACGATGCCTATTCGCCTATGATGAGCTGACATGCTATCTTGATTGCCGGTTGCGCAGCTACCGTCATAGGATGATGACGCTGCGCACCTATAGATATGACGCGCAGTGTTCTTATCATCTACAACGCTTTTCGCTGTCATCTACTTTGAGAACGTGTCTGTACATCACAAGACATATGTGCTGTGCCCTCCAGGACCTGATGGACCAGATCACCGAGGGCGGCCGCAACCTGGCCGAGGTGGAGAAGCTGCGCAAGCGGGTGGAGCAGGAGAAGGAGGAGCTGCAGTCGGCGCTGGAGGAGGCCGAGAGCGCGCTGGAGCAGGAGGAGAACAAGGTGCTGCGCGGCCAGCTGGAGCTGAGCCAGGCGCGACAGGAGATCGAGAGGCGCATCCAGGAGAAGGAGGAGGAGTTCGAGAACACCAGGTCAGTGGGGTCATTGACTGCGTGAGAGCGTGGGCGGACAAGGTGGTGGGATTTGTGGCTTGGTGTGTGGAGACGTGGCTGTGGGACTGAATGGCACAGAGCGTTTTAGCATGACTTTCATTCGGGCGTTTTCTTCTTCAAAGACAGGTTTCCACACGTCTGATAACGTTTAAGAACCTCAACGCCTAGGCTTCACCACCGCAAAGAAATATCGTTCCATAGAAAGGTCAAGTATCCGGGTTTCATCCTGAGATGACTACCTTTCATGCATTCGCATACCAACATAGTTCTTCGGAAGCGTCAGCAATCTTTGACGTGAACGAGGCGAGAACAGCTAACTGACCTGTTCTGGTACGCTCACATTCGTTGTTTCCCTGACGCCGCCGTCTTCTCTGACGCCATCCAGGAAGAGCCACCAACGCCAGATGGAGTCCATGCAGGCCTCGCTGGAGGCCGAGGCCAAGGGCCGCGCCGAGGCGATGCGGATGAAGAAGAAGCTGGAGACGGACATCAACGAGCTGGAGGTGTCGGTGGAGCGGGCCAACATCGAGACCATGGAGAGCCAGAAGACCATCAAGCGGGTGCAGATGGAGCTGAAGGACGTGCAAGTGCAGCTGGAGGAGGAGGAGCGCGCGCGTGCCGAGGTGCGCGAGGCGCTGGGCATGTCGGAGCGGCGCGCCAACGCCCTGCACGGCGAGCTGGAGGAGAGCCGGACCCTGCTGGAACAGGCCGACCGCGGCCGCCGACAGGTCAGTCTGACGACGTCACCACAGGGCTGAGGTCAGAGAGGGCAGAGGCAAGGGAAGGAAGAGGACGGGGGAAACAGGGGTTACTGGGGCAGATATTTTCAGAGATCAGGGAGGACAGAGGTTACTGGGGCAGATGTCAGGGAAGGCAGAGGTCAGGGATGACGGAGGTCAACGAGGGCGGAGGTCATGGAGGGGGTCAGGAGAATAGGCCGACCGCGTCCGCCGACAATTTAGTCGGCCGACGTCGCAGAGGAGGCTGATGGTAGCAGACGGCGGTCGGATGGATGCAGGGAAGTGGGGTGGCTGGTTGACTCGGTTAATGTGATAACGGTTGTGTGATGTCACAAAGTTATTTGAAATAGCGACATCTGCCGTTTTTGATTGTCAGGTGGCTTCGAGCAATAAGTGCCCTTTCGCCACTTACACAATCGTTTCCTCTAGCTTCAAAACTCCCATCAGAAACACGGCCTTTATTCGAAAGGAGTCGGACTGCTGCATATCTTCCATGCGAACGCCCAAGCAGACCTGCCGCGTCTGACCTCCCCCCCCCACCTGTGACTTCACAGGCCGAGGCCGAGCTGGGCGACGTGCAGCAGCAGCTGACGGAGGTGTCCAGCAACTACAACAGCGTGTCTGCGCTGCGGCGTAAGCTGGAAGAGGAGGTGGGCTCCCTGCATGTCGACCTGGACGAGATGCTGAACGAGGCACGCACCTCCGAGGAGAAGGCCAAGAAGGCCATGATCGACGCCGCCAGGTGAGGCGGGCTCGGAGAGGGGAAGGGGAGGGGCGACGAGGGGGGGGGGGGGGAGGGCGACAGGAAAGAGGAGATGAAAGTAGACGGAATTGAAGGTGGCGAGAGGAGATGGCCAGCGGAAACATATACAGAGAGAGATAGCAAGGCGGAGCTGGGGTTAAATGGGAAAGAGAGAGATCTGGGAAGAGATAGGATGGGAGGAGAAGAAATAGATGAAGCCAGGCGCCAGGACTTTAAAGCCAAGATCGGAAGGCCAACGTCGGCATGGAGGAACATACAGGCTACGCTTGTTGAGTGCAATGAGGAGGCCTGATGTTGTGATAAAGATATAGGAGGTCTGTGTGTACGCGATAACGTATTGATCTAGATGAGAAACCCCGGCTATCGGTGGACACGTCAGACGCCGTCAAACTTCCCTGTGGAGCTCAGAGTCGCCCCGTCCCCTTTGGAGCTCAGAGCCGCCCCGTCCCCTGTGGAGCTCAGAGCCGCCCCGTCCCCTGCAGAGTTCAGAGCCGCCCCGTCCCCTGTGGAGCTCAGAGCCGCCCCGTTCCATCCCCAGACTGGGCGGACGAGCTGCGTGCTGAGCAGGAGAACGCCCAGCAGCAGGAGCAGGCCCCGCAAGTCCATGGAGCTCACCGTCAAGGACCTGCAGATCCGGCTGGATGAGGCCGAGGCCAACGCTATCAAGGTCAGCTCAAGGACACAACGGATTATGCTGAACAGCTGCCGGTAGTGGTAGACAAAGAGGAACTCCAAAGGCAACTTCTCGAGGGGAAATTGGTGACTCCGTCACCAAGTTAGGCTCGGGGATCTCGATATGTCTAGACCTGACCTGCTAGGAGCCGACACTTTGCGTTACACTTGCGTTATGCTTCAGCGGACAATGAATGCAAGCTGTGCTCATAGCCTGGCTATAAGAACTACGATGTTAAGTAAAATGAGGGCCACATATGTTATCGGTAACATCTGCGGATGACTGATCACGGAAAATTAGCGGAGCACGACAATTCTTTCAGCGGCCCGGCAAGGGATCTCACCACGTTCGATTGCATCCTTCTGTATCTGGGCCACCGGCCTGCTGCCCTCGCTCGCACCCGGCCGGCGCCTCCGGCCTGTGCCCCCTGGCGGAGCTCCGCTGACCGTGCTAGCCGCCGGGCCTTTAGCGGCGATCCGACGGCCGTGCTCTGCCGTCCACAGAACGGCCGCAAGATCATCGCCAAGCTGGAGGAGCGGCTGCGCGCGCTGGAGTCGGAGCTGGACCACGAGCAGCGCCGCCACAGCGAGGCCTCCAAGAACCTGCGCAAGGCCGACCGGCGCATCAAGGAGCTGCTCTTCCAGGTCAGCCCCCCCCGCAGAACGTGGGATCTGTGGTGTTTAGCTTCACCTCCCGATCAGGCAAACCAATGTCACGGGCGGTCACGGTTTGAATCGTATTTCTACCAGTTGAGAGATATGGATCGCTCGCAGCCGTTGGGGTAGGAAAAGACAGCCGATGATTGCTGCCTTGCAGTACTGAGGACTTTTACATTGGTGTAGTAGGTCATGTGATATCAATGGAAATGCTTTTGCGACCGACCCCACACATTCGCCGAGAAGCTCCTACGCGTCTACACGTATCCGTTTCGCGCCTGTGTCCGACGCTTACCCCCCCCCCCCCCTCCCGGCCCCCTTTTCCGCCTGTCGACTCCGTGCTGATCTCAAATGTCTGGCCGCAGGCGGACGAGGACAGAAGAACCACCAGCGCATGCAGGACCTGGTCGACTCGCTGCAGCAGAAGATCAAGACTTACAAGCGGCAGATCGACGAGGCGGAGGAGATTGCCGCCCTCAACCTCGCCAAGTACCGCAAGTGCCAGCAGGTGCGTGCCGCCGATGTTGCCACCGTGTCGCGCCAGCGATGGGCGGCGGATAGTGCGCGGGAAGGATGTCTTGGTTTTCCTGCGGGGCGCAGCCTCTTTTATTTCGTGAGGGTGGAAAGCCAAAACAATTTCGAGAATCATCCATTGGCTTTTGCTCTTTCGGCTCGTTAGTGGATTTTCGCATTCGAGCCTTTCTTGCAGGCTGAGGGGAAGAACGCATTCGGGCGATTCACGATCCGGCCCAAAGAAGATAAAGAGCTTCACGCATGCGCTTCACAGACCGGAAATTATGCCTAGGGGTAGTCAAATAACGCACGGGGTGTGCGCACCTTGCGCGTGATTTTCGGAAGCTTTTAACTGGGGCCGATTTACTCCTATATGCTAATGGTTTGGCTTGAGGAACTTTTGAAGCTGCTCAGGTGCCGCCAGCCAGTGACCTGTGCCTTCTGTGGGCTAATGTCATGCTATGTTGATGGTGTATCTGAATTGCGTTGCTTGTTTGCGGTATCCTTTGCCATGCCGTGGTCTTTCGCTGCCGTTGGAAGACCTCGATACGTCAGGAGGTCCGACTGTAACCCGTGACCTCTGACCCGTATCTGACCTGCCCCGCCCCACCGCAGGAGCTCGAGGCGTCCGAGGAGCGCTGCGACATGGCCGAGTCGACGCTGGCCAAGTTCCGCGCCCGCGGTCGTGGCGCCTCGGTGGCGCGCGCTTCCAGCCCCGCCTACTAGATGGCAGCCCAGTCGACCTGGCCGAGGCCGGCCCGCCCCCGGCCGCCCGGCCTGCTGCGCCCTTCTCATTTCATTGTCCCCTAGGCGTTCTGTCCGTCTGTAGAGTGCCAGCTACGCTGCCCGCGTTGTACCTACATGAATAAGCAATCTTCTGAATAAGAAGGTGCTCGAAAACGGACGAAGCGTTTGGCAGAGACTGTGAGGGTTGAACGAGGGAAGGCCAGAGGATGCGTGCGTTCCCGCCTTCCGCACGGATGGAGGAGGTCGTCGCGGAGGTCTTGCTCACGCGGATACACACGCACGTAACGTTCACGAGCTCGGATAAAAAACAGAACACACCGAGGTCTTGTTTAGACCGGTGATGAACTATCCTACCAATGGTGATTGAAATTGGCGACCAGGGACTGTTCGAATGCTTGGGATGAAGATCGTGGGTCCCGAAACCCAGTCTCTTTCCAAATCTGCATTGCTCAATTGGTAATTCCCCACCTTATTTCGACGAACATTTCTTATTCTTGGGCCATTTGTAAATTAATCCTTTTTTGAGCATCATATGAGTCTTGGCCATCATAATGTGCTCAAAGAAGGCGAAATTAATGTGGTAATTAGCCTTATTTCTCAATTTTGCAAACGTTCCAGCACAAAAATCCAGTTAGATGGTTTTTGCTGGTTTTACAGGATGATGGCTAATGCTGGTTTTACAGGATGTTAAAACCAGCATTAGAGCCCAAAGCAGCATCGGGAGCGAGAGGGAGCCTTACAAAAGAACACAATCGACAAACCCCTGCTCGTGGTGACAGCTGGAAAGCTCCATACTATCTATCTAACGAAACCATATATAGAAGGCATATCTAACTATGCAAGAATTCACCTGAAAATGTACTAGACACGTTCTCAGTAAAATTCATGTGACACGTTCTCTGCAAAAACTCACCTGACGATGTTTTGGACACGCTCCCTGTAGAGACTCACCTGACGATGTTTTGGGCACTTCTCTGCAAAAACTCACCTGACGATGTTTGGACACGCTCCCTGTAGAGACTCACCTGACGATGTTTTGGACGCGTTCTCTGCGAAAACTCACCTGACGATGTTTCATCACCTGACAACGATGGAGCACGTTCCTGTAAAGACTCACCTGACGTTGTTTCGGACACGTTCCCCCCCGTCACGCAAACGCCGTATCAACCGCAAAATGAGTGCGCGGTGTATTAAACAGGGCATGGTTACGTAACGTTTTGGTGAACAGCACACCTTCCTGGAATGAGAGGAGCCCATGCGCTGCTCCGCCGCGTGTTTTCCCCATACAGTAGGCCGTCCGTCAGACGATGGATCGTTAGACTGACCCGCCATGCGCGCCGGCCATGCGGTCGCACGCCTCAGCACGTGCAGCACGCGATGGAACCCGCTACAACGACTGTGTCCTGTCCTCAGTTCAAGGATGGTTAGATTTCGCATCCAGAGCGTGGCTTTGTTCGATTGGGAAAGCGTGCTAGCAAGGCCAGGGCCAGCAAAGCTCCAGTTTATAGGTGCGAGTTGCACATTTCTGACAGAAAACCTATTAATTGTCACGTCAGCCACAACGTCTATATAAACGGTCTGCTTGCTGCCGTGTAAAATGCACGCATTTTATCACGCACGCAAATCACATAATGTATATTTGAGGTACGATGCATAAACGCATATATATATATATATATATATATATATATATATATATATATATATATAATACATTATGTCGAAAGATTTACCAAGATCCAAGATACATTTGCTAGTAAGCCAAAAGATCCAGAAGGACCAAGTTCTGGCCTGGAACACGAAGAGATCCACGAAGAACCAAGGTATATATATATATATATATATATATATATATATATATATATATATATATATATATTGTATATATATCGTACAGTTGATAAAGTGAGTGGAGCAACATAGTCATCTTTTTAGAAAGCCGTCGAGATCCTAGCTCTTTGATGCAACCCTGTCACAATGAGATCCCATCAGCATCTGCCACATTTTGCAGAATGGAACATGGGAAATGCAATCACATATATCTGACCACTTCATTTTCCGCATGCGTGTAATCTTGCATACACATCTTTTTTCACTTTTGGTACTTGCAACATAAGATTTCCTGCAAGGCTGGTTGGGGGAGCGTTTGCAGACATGGGACATTGCTGCTTCACCACAATAAACCCATATTTAATGAAATAATTGCATCTTTGCCTCACATTGCGCCTGCCGACGACTCCTTTTATACCGGCACTGTCACGGTAACTCCTTTCCTGTCAAATATGCCCTCAGCACCCAAAAACACACGTGACAGCAAGCTCCCATAACAACAGCTTAGCAAAAAGGCCAGAGAGTTCGTGCCATAACACATAAAATGAAGACCAATCTATTTTGCCACACGCTTTGTTTAAATCCGTTTCGGCCAAGACAATAAAAATTGAGCGACGCCAAGCCACGCCGAAAACTCAGATCCCGCTGGATGACCTTGGCCAACTGGCAGATTCATTTTGAAAATGTGGGTTTTTGTGATCGGTGTGTACGCTGCTCAGCTGCCCAGCCGTCGCTGGTGCTCATTGTTCTGCGTCGCCGGCTGCCGCTATCACGCCTCTTCACGATAGGAAATCTGTGTATAATGAGGAGCGTGGGTGTCAGTTTTTGTAAATTATTGAAGGGGCGATCCGAAGGCCCGATTTCCTACCCCCCCCCCCATTTTGTCGCCGCATTTAGCCCACTTTGTTTTGATTAAACTTAATATGTGTTTTAACCTTTGTACGGCTTATAAGCCTTTAATTCAAGCAGTACAGAAGTCATACAGGGTTGGATCCAGGGAGCATGCAATGCACGCACGCGTCTCTCCTGATCGGCACGTGAAGGTGCCCCTTTGGAGGCCACCTTAGGGCGCCGATGGCGCTCCTCTATGGCGATCATGGGAGGCGGCAGGCACTTTGGTTGTGGGGGACGGGGACGGGCTAGCCATGCAAAACTCAAGTCATCCCCATATTCCAGACCTTTTCACTTAAGCCTTACAAGCTATTGCGTGTCTTATGACGCTAGGTATGTGAAGTTTGTTGCATCGTTTATCCGCTCATCTGTTAAGATTTGTATCTTGTGGTGAGAGCACCCACGACTTTTTGTTATGAAAGTAGTGCGAGATGCCAGTACGCGGAAAGATCAAAGGATGTAGTCGTTGTGTTATGATCATCTTTCACCCACGTTTCTTGTAGTATCCCAGTCAAAAACATTGGGGGGGGGGGGCAAGCCAACATGGGGGCAGCTCAAAATTGGGGGGGGGGGCAGGGACCAAAAAAAATACAATCGACACCCGTTATGAGGAGCCTATTGGTTAGGATACGAGTTGGATGAGGTTATGTGCACGACTCAGCACGTTATGGCTCCGGTGCACCCGATAGCCACACACTCAGGTGAGTCATAGAACTAGGATAGGCCGGGGCCGTGGTATTGGCTGGACGGTAGGTCCGGTCAGGCACCATGAACGGCTATCTCCCCATTCACGTTTGTCCGCCCTTAACCATGCATCCCATATCACACGGCATCCCGCCTCCACCGTTTGGCTAGTGATGCTTTTTCAACTGGGAAAAAACGGGACCAGATGCACTGATAAAAGGTGAATGTCCTGAATCCCATAGCATGCCCAAATTGGCGGGGATCCCGCGCAACCGACGAATTACATCGACAAGGGTATGTCAGATATGAACCCTGGGAGCCCGCTCGTACTTAACTAATCCGCACAGACTTCATGCATTCGGCACCTCACCACAAGCACTCCGAGTATGCACAACTGCTGGCACCCACGTCCTTCCACCTATTCTTAGCTCGCACACGGGTAGGACGCCCGTTGCCCCCCCCCCCTCGGCCCCATTTCCGGCACTCGACACCATAACCCTGACGTTTGCGCGGCCCTCAGTGAGCTAAACTAAGTTTCATTTAATGCATTTCAGTCATCTGATGAAGCCACGTCTATGTCCGTTTTAAAACGCATCACATCAGTCTATTATCAACTTGGCGCTGACGCGGCTACTGGACCGGCACCAGGTGTATCAGAGCTGGACGACGGCTCGTCCCTTCGCCTGACCTCCAGGATGATGGCTCCCTATTCAGACATATTTACGGACCTGTGGCTCCCTTTTTGACAGATCCACGTCGAGAATTGTGCGCGTTGCAAATAAAGTGCTGCGCTTCAACCCTCAAGGTCCGCCTTGTCTTCCCTAATTTTATGTGGAGACCCGCTCAGGCTATAAAATTAACTGAAACGTGTGTCATCAAGGTATAGATACGTGACTGTGGGTTACGGTTCGTTTGCGCCACGTTCATTCCTCGCTTTCATGGCTCGCTTGCTCCCGTGTAATCACGACTCGCTAAAGACCTTAAGGTATCAAATCCGCGTTCGCATATCTGAGCACACGGCGTTAATCTGCATGCATGCATTACGACTCCCCTGCACGACGGTCCAAATGACGCAGCTTCACTTGCAATATAACCCGCCAGGCGCGTGACCCAGACCCGAACCCCGTAGCATGAGTTTACCCCCACCGGCCGGTGGCAGCTCATCCTGTCTGGCTAGTCCTCTCCGGTCTCCGGAGACCGCGCCGGTCATGTGAGTCGTTGCTCCCCCGAATGTAACGCTCCCGCGGGTTTTGTTCCACATCCCCTCCTTCCAGGTTCCAGCCATCAGCCAAGTTCGCTCCCTTCTGCGTTCATGGTCACATCCGTTTTGCATGCGCTATTTCTCGGCCCGGGACATGCCCAGGGCATCGGATAGCGAGCGTTGGCATGCCCCGGGGTGAAGCCTGGCCCTGAGGTTTTGCTGCGATGGCGTTTTGCTGCATGCTGATTGGCCGGGGCTCGGGCTCAGGCTTTCACTCCAAACTTGCCCACGGGCTGCTGGATGCATTAGCTGGCTCCGCTCCGGCCTGATGCTCTGCTCTGCACGGGCCGCTCGCTGTCGTCCGTTGGCAGTCTGTCGACCCCGGCGAGGCGGACACGCCAGCGGCGTGGACACCGCTCCGCTAGATGCCCCGCTCCCCGGCGTCTCCCGCTCCGGAGATGCTATTAGCAATTGGGCTGAAGCGCGCCGGGCGCAGCTGCCCTTCTGGCGGTCTGTGCCCGCAGACGCCTTGCTCTGGAGGGTAGTCCGTCGCTGGGTTTTTGGCTTACTTATAGCCCTGGCTGCTACGCAAAACAGGAATTGTAACGGGATGGGGGAAAGAATATGCACACATACAGTATTATTTAAAATGCAAGCTCCGCCTTACACTAGAAGCTAGCTTTGCTAGTTACATTGGTAGTATCAAGGCATGCTGATGCACTTGCCTGTGGTGTGTGATCTTAGGAATGTGAAAACAACAATATGTGAGTTGTCCTGAGTGACTTGCATGACTCTGTGGCTGAGATGCGTGGGTCAGGATCTTGTAATTATACAAAAATAAGAGACCAACATTTAAGGTACAGTGCTTTCGACAGGACCAATGACAACCGGAAACCAAGAACGAGGCCCATCACTGCTAAAGAATCAGAGGGAGCCCGGATCCAGGGTTTGACATGGTCGAAGGAGCCGGTGGAAACCAGGATCCACAGTTGAAATTCATCAAAATAATCACGGAAAACCAGGATCCGAGATCTTGGCTGCCGAAAAAAAACAGTAGAAACCAGGATACAGGGTTTTGTTTTGTCGACAGAACCAGTGAGAACAGGGATTCAGGATAAGCTTTGTCGAAAAAAAACAGTGAGAATCAAAATCATTGATCCTAGTTTGTCAACAGAACCAGCGGGAGCCAGGAGCCTGAGTTTTGTTTAGTCAAAAGAAACGGTGGGAACCAGAAATCATGATTTCGTTTTGTTGAAGCAGTCAGTGGGAACCAGTAACCAAAACTGAGAACCAGTTACATGTCCAGATTAATGATAATGATAACAACCATCAGCGTTATCATTACCACCGCCACCACCACCATCACCATCACCATCACCATCAACATCAACATCACCACCACAATCATCAGCATCAGCATCAGCATCACATCACCATCACGCAT